TAAGTGAATATATATATAGTCATGGGACGTGGAGTATAGTGTGGGAGTGGAGTCAAGGGAATTGTAATAGATATGTATGATATTGTCGGGGGGAAGTGGGGCGGTGGATTGGGGGAGAGGGTTTGTCACTTCGAGGGGTAAAAAGTATAACTATTACACTGTGTTGTACAACTGAAACTAATTTTTAAAAAATGTGCATTTCACAATAAAAAAATAAAATAGCATCCTTTAGATTCTAAAGGAATAAAATACTTAATAAATTTAACGGAGATAAAAGACTTGTATACAAAAAAATACTACAAAACACTGCTGAATGAAATTAAAGACAACCTTGATAAATTGAAAGACATCTCTTGTTCATGAATTGGAAGACTTAACATTATTAACGTGCCAATACTACCCAAATGATATACAGATTCAATGCAATCCCTATGAAAACCTCAATGGCTTTTTTTCTTTTTTTGCAGAAATTGAAAAACCCATCCTAAAATTCAGATGGAATTTCAAGAGACCATGAATAGTGAAAACAATCTTGTAAACGAACAAAATTGGAAGACTAACATTTCCAAATTTCAAAAATGACTGCAAAGCTACAGTAATCAAAACAATGTGGTATCAGGGTAAGGGCAGACATGCAGACTAGTGGAATAAACCTATGTACAACCGACTTCCAACAAAGGTGCCAAGATCATTCAATAAGGAAAGAGGTATAAAAAGGAATGGAGTTCTGCTATATGTTACAGCACAGATGAACCTTTAAGCCAGATATAAAAGGACAAATATTGCATGATTCTCCTTACATGAAATATCTACAGTAGGCAAATCCATGCAGACAAAAAGAACAGAGTTTACTAGGGGTTGGGGGGAGGAAGAATGGGTAGTTATTGTTTAGTGGGTATGGAATTTCTGTTTGGGATGATGAAAAGTTCTGGAAATAATGGTGATTGTTACAAAGCATTGTGATTGCATATGCCACTTAAATGAACATTTAAAAGTGGTTAAAAGAGTAAATGTTATATAAATTTTATCAAACACACGAAAAGTGGAAGAAACAAAAGATGCCCTTATACACTATTAAGTGCCCAACACTGTCTGGCACATAGTAGGTCCTAAAGACTATGTACTAATAAACCCATCATGTCTACTAATACTTAATTCCTCATTACTTATCATCTTAAATTTTTCTGAGGGTTTTATATAAGAGATAATGGGCCAGGAAAACGATTAAGTTAAACCAAAATCAGAAGCAGAACAAAAAATTCCAGGAATAGGATGCTGAAAAGGCATGAATTTAGCCTAACACAGCAAGACCAAACTAAACACAAAAATAAAGGCAGAGATCTGAGAATAAAACATGCCATCACTTGAATTCTGAGGGTCTTTCTCTTACTAGTTTCCAGTTCCAACGAAGTGTCTCTCGTTTGCTTTCAACTAAGCATATCCAACATAAGGTCACCATATACACTCATCACTAACACTCACCCAATGACAATTTATTGTGTCATGGGAAAAGGTAAAAAAGATGAGACTCTTACCATTTCATAAGCAAATGTTTCTTGTCTGCAGACCCGATCTATCGTTATGGTTTCTTCCCGATGTTCCAAAAGCTTCTTTCTAACTCTGTTATAGATACAAAAAAAATTAAAATTCAACAATCTTTAATGGGGCTTCAAAAACTTTTTTACTATTTAATTTTTTATTTTGACCTAATTTTAGACTTAAAGAAAAGCAGCAAAAATAGAGTTTTCTTATATCTCTCACCTGGCTTCTCCTCTATCATGTTACACGATTATAGAATAATTATCAAGACTGGGAGATTAACATTAATACAGTATTATTAACTACATGTATTTTTTGATATTCACAAATTTTTAAACTGAATGTTTTTCTGTTCCAGGATCCTATGCAGGACACCACATTGCATTTATTTCTCCCTTTTCCTCCAGTCTTTTACAGTTCTGTAATTTCTGCTTGTCTTTCATGATCTTGACACTTTTGAAGAGCTTGAATCAGTTATTTTGTAGAATGTCCTTCAACTTGGGTTTGAGTGCTGTTTCCTCACCATTGAAATAAGCCTATACATTTTTATATACCACAAGAATGATTCTGTCCTTTCACTGTAGGGTCATGAGGTTCATGATATTAAGAACATGTCTTATTTCTGGTGATGTTTACCTTGGCTAGGTTCGTGTCTGCAAGGTTCCTACACTAAAATGATACTTTTCCTTTATACCTGGTAAGTATTTGGGGGAGATACTTTGAAACTATGCAAATCTTGTTTCTCAAACTTTCATCTAGGAATTTTGGCATTCATCTTATTTTTTTTTTTTTTAGCTGAGCCATCCTGCTACTTATTGGCAGCTCAGCGGCTGCTCAGCTCGGGCTGGGACTCGAACCGCTGTTGCTCAGAGCTCAAACTCTTGAGCGAGCTCTTAATCAACTGAGCCACTCGGCCGGCCCTGCATTCATATTTTTGTCTGCAACATTTATCACTGTAGTATATGCCTATTTCCCTCATTCTACATTTATTCATTGATATGAGGAAGATCTGTCTATTTCCTCCCATTTATTGATGTATTTGATCATTTATATTAGCATGAACTCATAGATATGTATTTTTTAAAAGATTTTATTGGGGAATTGGGGAAGGGAACAGTGTTGGGGAATTGGGGAAGGGGAATCTTGTGTTTTTCCAGGACCCATCAGATCTAAGTCAAGTTGTTGTCCTTCAATCTTAGTTGTGGAGGATGCAAGCTCAATTCCAAGTCCAGTCGCTGCTTTCAATCTAGTTGTGGGGGGGGGGCGCAGCCCCCCATCCCATGCGGGAGTCGAACTGGCAACCTTGTTGTTAGGAGCACATGCTCTCACCACCTGAGCCATCCGGCCGCGGTTGGCAGCTTAGCTTGGGCGCAGCTCACTGGCCCATGTGGGAATCGAAACAGCAACACTGTTGCTCAGAGCTTGTGCTCTTAGCCACCTGTGCCACCCAGATGGCCCCTGTATTTTATTCTAAGGGTTAATAATCTAATAATGTCATTATTTTGTTCCTCAAATTGTTCTAGCTTTGATCATTAGGAGCTCTTTCAATTTGGCTCCTGTTCTTTCAACAAGTCATCATCTTTTTTAAAAAAACTTTTCCTTACTTTCTGGCACCCTAAAATGCTCAAGGGCTCATCCTGTATTTCCCTATCTCAGCCCTGGAATCAGGCACTTTTCCTAGGAGCCCTGGTTCCTATATTAGAGAGCGGTGTTTAGAGACCGTATCTGGGCACTAGGCATTCTCACTGTTACTGCAGTCACTGCTTCCAGGCTTCTCAGCAGAGAAAGGTAGGAAACATATGTATACTAACCCACACATAAACAAATATCTGTATTTCTGTATTGTTCTGGTATGTATTTAAAATTATGAGTTAATACTGACATTTCCAACCCCAAATTAAAACCACAGCATTTATTTTAACCTTCAACCTTTCCTTGTTTATAACTTCTTTCTCCACAGGTGAGAAACCCAACTCCCATTACTTACAATCTATTAACTTTTTAAAATATAGTTTCGGAATTGCTAACCGACACCCCCATGAGAAACATTATTTCATGAACAGTTCTTTCAGTCTTTAGCCTTACAACACTCCATCAAGCCATGCTTTAGTACAGAGCTCAGATTAGTTCTTTCCTCCCCATTCTTATTCATTTGTAACACAGGCTCACTTGTTGGTTTTGTATTGTTTTGGGTGCCCCACCCACATCCTGGTTGGTTTTGTCTTTTTACTTTTGAGGTATACGAAAGACATGTGCAACATTACTTGTGGTTCTAAGAGTCAGCGTTATAAAAAATATATGTACTCAAAGAAGTGTCATTCCTTTTCTGTCCCTACTACCCTGTTTCTATTCCCTTTCCTACTCTCCATGCTGTGGGCAACCAATCTCTATAATTCTGGTTTATCCTTCCCATTTCTTTTGTTCTGATAAGCAGATACCTGTGTATTTTTTTTTTTTTAGCTGAGCCATCCTGCTACCTGTTGGCAACTCAGCGGCTGCTCAGCTCGGGCTGGACTCGAACCGCTGTTGCTCAGAGCTCAAACTCTTGAGCGAGCTCTTAACCAACTGAGTCACTCAGCCGGCCCGTACCTGTGTATTTTTTAATATTCCTTTCTGAATCGGTCTGAGTTCAATTAGGAGAAAAGAATTAAAGTTATTGGGACACAGAAAGCTTTACCTAAAGAATTGTTAACTTTAACAGAGGACTGGATTAATGAGGGATTGGCAAGGAGAATGCTGGAGAATACAGAAATAATAGATAAAAGTTGTATCCTGCTCCCTGGTCTGAGAAAGAGTGCCCAAGAAGTGTCCCTTTTCTCTCTCCCCCTAGGACTGAGATCCAGACCTTGTTGGAGAGGGCACGGCTGTGACTCACTGAATGACAGAGAAGTTGCTATGGTGCCCCATCAGTAAATCCTGTTGGAAATCCACCCTTAAGAGCACCAGGAAAAGCTGCTGAAGGGAGTTGTTGAGAGGAGTGGAGTAGCAGGGGAGGCTGCTGGGTGAGGGGTGCTAATGACTGGTGAGTACTCCAGAAGCTGGGCACTGGGGAAGCTGTGTGCACTGCAGGACCCCAAAACAAATTCCATACCCATTAAACAATAACTCCCCATTCTCCTTTCCCCCAGCCCCTGGGAAGCTCTGTTGTACTTTTTGTCTCTATGAAACTGCCTATTATAGATACTTCATATAATTTATTTCTGTAGAGCAGGGATCAGCACACCATTCCTTAAAAGGCCAAATAGTGATTATTTTAGGTTGTGAGCCACATGGTCTCTTTCACAACTACTCAGTTTGTCACTGTATTACAAAAGCAGCCACAGACAAATATGTTGTCCCAATAAACCTTTCCTTGAAAAACACAGGTGGCTAGTCAGTGGGTTATAGTTTGCCCATGTCTGCAAAGTAGCCTCTTATAATCTCAAAAATTTATTGTAAATGGTTATTTCTCCCTCATTTTGTATGTTTGTGCTTTCTTCCATTTTTTTCCTTAATGAAGTCAGCTAATAATTTACCTATTTTGTTAATTATTTCAAAAAACACAAGCTTTTAATTAGATCCATCCTTTTTCTATTTTTTTCCTCATTAATTCCTGCTTATATCACTATCCTTTCCTTCCTTATAGTTTCTTTTAGTTTACTTTGTTGGTTTTTTTTTTTTTTTGGTTTTTTAGATTTCTGAGCTGGAAATTTATATCATTTATTTTTATTTTTTCACTTTTAATAGTCACAGCAATAAATTTTCCTCTGATCAGTGCTTTAAGTGTATTCCTTATATTCTGATATGTGTTTTCAATGTCATTAAAAAAAAAAAAAGAAATAAAGTTTTATTGGGGAATCGGGGAAGGGGAACAGACAAGTTGCTGTCCTTTTTATTCTTCAGTCTAGTTGTGGAAGACGTTGCTTCACTGGCCCATGTTGGTATATTGCGCTCTTCCCGGGTGAGGTAGATCGGTCCCCAGCTACTGGATGGCCGCTCACGCCAGCTGCCAGCTACTAGCCTACGCTGTTGCTGGCGACTCACGGCAGCCCAGCACCATGTTGAGTTGTTGTTCACCATCTTAGATGTAGAGAGCGCAGCATCACTGGCCTACATGTGGGATCCAAATTTGGGCCCTGCTTCTCAGAGTTGGCGTCCCAAGCCAACTCTTAACCAACGTACCACTCGGCCGGCCCTCAATGTCATTATTTCTTAAAAGTTCTTTAATTCCAGTGTTTGTCCCCTTTTGTCCATGTGTTTTTTAATATGTTTTAAAGGGGCGGTCGGTTAGCTCAGTTGATTATAATAAGGGCTCATAACACCAAGGTTGCCGGTTCGATCCCTACCTGGGCCACTTACTTGCGCCCTCCACAACTAGACTGAAACAACTGCTCGGCTTGGAGTTGATGGGTCCTGGAGAAACACACAGTTCCCCAATAAAATAAAATAAGCTTAAAAATTTTCACATGGAACAGCCTAATTAGTTTTTGTTAGTGAATTCTAATTTTATTATGTTGTGATCAGAGAGTGTTGTTTGTAGTATTTCTACTTTATGGAAGAGACTGGTGTTTCACTTATGACCCAATATGTAATCAATTGTGAATGTGCCACAAGGTCTCTATTATCAGGACGTAAATTTTATATATATATATATATATATATATATATATATATATATATATATATATATATATATATATATCTCCACAAGACATACCATGTTGGTTAGAGCTTTTATCTTTTTTTTTTTACCATTTGATTTTGTGCTGAGATTGGCATATTAAAGTGTCTTATTATTAGTGCATTTCTAGCTGTTTCCTTACATCTCCTATAGTTTTGTTTTATAAAGTTGGCTATTTTATTTATTCTGTCATGCTAACAAAGCCCTGGTATATTAGAGTGGTTTCTTTTTTAATTGTTTGTTTTGGTCGTAGGTTAAGAGTCCTCCAATTTTGTGGCTCTCTTTTTCTTACAGGACTCTGAAGTTTCTCTTTTTCATCCTTTAAATGGTGCAGTGAACAGTGCTTTCTGACTGGAGAAATCAAGAGGGATGGGCAGACTAACTGAAATTGCTATTTTATTAAAAGTAATGTTGCTAAAGCTTTCGGGATGACAGATACATTTCAGTAGCACCCATGTAGTACCAATTTTCTTTCCTACTCCTAGGAATTAAAATCTTCTCAAGTCGTCAAAAATTTTCAAAAGTGCTTCATTTATTTAGGTTGCTATGGATTAGGAAGAGCAGTACATGCCAAGAGAGATCAATCTCTACCAACTGCCTTTTTCCCCTTTACATGCATAAAATGAGTTCAGTAGCTCCTTTGTTAGACAAAAAGTTCTAGAAATTTATTTTATGCCATATTAAATGGGTTATATACTTAGGTTTTGTTTCTATTTTTATGTTTTTAAGTTATTTGTGGGGAGAAGGAAGGTTTAGAGAAAGAGAGTGAAGAGATACAGATTTTGGCTTTAGGCACAACTCTAATTTGCAGCATTGTTAAGATTAATATTAGTTGTATTTTTTTTTTAATTTTTTTGTTTTTTGTTTTTTGTTGGGGAATTGAGGGAAGGGGAACAGACAAGTTGCTGTCCTTTTGTTCTTCAGTCTAGTTGTGGAGGATGTTGCTTCACTGGCCCAAGTTGGCACCATCATTGCGCTCTTCCTGGGGGAGGCAGATCAGTCGTAGGCTTCTGGACAGCCGCTCACGTTGGCTGCTGGCCGCTCACGTTGGCTGCTGACTACACACGGTAGCCCATGGCAACCCACTGCAGCAATGGCTGCAGCCTACACCGTCGCCGGTGACTCACGGCATCCCAGCTCCAGGTTGAGCTGTTGTTCAGCATCTTAGCTGTAGAGGGCAGTGTCACTGGTCCTCATATGTGGGATCCGAACCGGGGTCCTCTGGCGTCCCAAGCCAGCTCTTAACCAATGCACCACTCGGCCGGCCCAATATTAGTCATATTTTAAAGATAGTTTCAAAGTACATCAAAATAATCCCAGCTGAGGAATGCTGTACTAACTCCTTTTACATTAGATTATATTGGGTCGTTGGAAAAGTCATGATGCATTTTTGCATATAAAACATAGAAAAAATGTTGGGAGCCGGCTGCACCTCAGTGTCTGACATGGCCTAGCACACCGCAATTGTGACAAATTCTGAAGCTCTGACTGAGAAACAGATACTGCTTTATGTTTTGGAAAACTTAAATTCCCCTTTGGATGCCCCCAGTAGGATAAAGATCTGACACCCCTTCTTATATTGATTGTTGTATTTACTTTAACCAAATAAGTGAGTTTTGGACATATTATGATAATTCTGTTTTACTGTTAGTTTCTTAGTGATAGATTCTTAGTGATAGACAAGTTATGCACCTTATAATTCTTAAGATGATGTTTAGCTAGTAGTGTTTGAAACAATTGCTTAAGTAGTAAACATCCTTTAAATGCCAAGGCAGGAACTCAGCTCTGGCCATTACTGGTAGAAATTGAAACATTGTTAGGATAAGTTAGTCATTAGTATAGAACAGATCCGCCTTCACCCTGTAATAGAAATATCGTGAGGAAGTAAAACTCTGAGAAAAACAAACTTCTAAGGAAAATAGACCCTGGGAAGGAAGGAACATTGAAACTATGTAGAAAACAATTTCCTAATGGGTAAAGGTTTAAACTTGGAAAAAACAACTTTGGGGAAAAACAGCTCAATGATGTAAATAGTTACCTGCCCAGTATAAAAAGGACATGCTATAAAAATAAAGTGAGACATTAATTCTTGAAAGCGCTCCTGAGTCTCCGAAAAAGAGAGGAACCTCTTTTTCCTTGCCGATGCCAGCCGTCTCCACCTGAGGGAACCCCTGGACCTGTGGGAGCTGGTCTCCCGCAAAAAAAATACATCATGACTTTTCCCATGACGGCATAGTTTGCAGCCCTTGCTGCAGTGGGCTGCGATAAGCTACCGTGTGTGGCCAGCAGGTAGCGTGAGCAGCCGGCAACTGGTGTGAGCTGCCAAGAGCCGCTGTGAACAGCCGTCCAGAGGCCGGTGACCAGTCTGCCTCAACCAGGAAGAGTGCAATAATCACAATAACATGGGCCAGTGAAGCGACCTCCTCCACAACTAGACTGAAGAATAAAAGGACAGCAACTTGTCTGTCCCCTCCCCCAATTCCCCAATAAAATCTTTAAAAAAAATTCATTTATTCTACTCATTCTATAACTACTGACTCCCTATGTGCCAAAGTTCTAGGAACGGGGGGTACAGCAGTAGCAGTGTGTGTGACAGTGTAACTTGTGGAACTTTTCAGTCTAGCTATAGAAAATTAAACAGGTATATTATAAGTGTGATCAGTATTTCCACAGAGAAGTATGGGGGCTATATAAGCAAAACCAAGGATCTATATAGTCTTTAATCCTTCAGCTATGACAAAGGACGAGCAGAAGCCAGCAAGACCAGATGGATGAGGAAGAGTAAGTGTTCTAGGCAAAGGCCTGGAGAGAACACATTCCAGGAACTGAAAAACACTGCAGTGTGGCTGGAGCACTGCAGAGACAGAGCTGCAAAGATCAGCAAGGTCCATTTTTTAGAGGCCCCTGTGAGCTACTTAAAAACTCAGGGCTTTTGCCTAAAAACCACTGAAAAGTTTTAAGGAAGAGTGAGACAATCCAATGTGCAAGTTTAGAAGAATTCAACCAATCTATCAACAGTAAAAGAGCAGCAACTGGAGCAAGGCAATACAATAAGCTTAAAAGCAATACATAGATGAAAGAGTTTGGATTCCTAATAAGTTTTCAAAGACTTTAGAAATGTTAGAAGAGTTCCAGACATTACAAGTGCATCTCTCCCCTAAGGGAAAGGAGATGGGTTGTAGTAATGTGTAAAGAAAGTAATCTTAGGGTCTCAAAGATCAGGTAGGTTTCAGAAGGGGGAGGGGCCATGTGCATCCTGAGCCATTTGAAAGAGAACGTGGTTGAAAATAAATCTAGAAAGGCAAATTTGGGCTATATGTAGAAGGCTTCAAATGTCTAGAGAGTCTGAAATTTGTCGATAGAAGAGAGGTAGAGCCACTGACAATTTCTTAGCAAACGAGCATGCTCAGGTGATAGGGTGATGGATAAATCAGGAGAAAACACAGGACCTACAAAAGACTGGACCCTTTCATAGGGCTCCAAGTGTTGCCGATGTAAATATCAGCAGTAGGGAAGGGAAACGGATCTGGCAGTTACTACAAACCAAGGCAGACTCGAATGCCTGCCTTAAGTTCTTAGACTTTTATTGTTTGTCTTTTAATTCCATTTTTCTAGTAATTCGTTTTCATCCTACTTTACAGAAGTATGGATATGTCAAAAATTAAAAGACAAAACAAAAAACTGGTCATTTACATAGTGTGAGAAGCATTATCAGAGTATTTAGCTTGCAAGTGAAATCTACGTAGATTAACTGTACCTTTGTAAACACATTTAAAAATAAACAAATTTGAATATGAACTGGATATTAGAGGTATGTACTTACTATTAATTTTCTTAGGTGTAATACTACTACTCTGATTATGTAAGAGAGTGAGGCTTTTAGGATCTATATGCTTCTGTATTTAAAAGTATATTATAATGCCTGCAACTTACTAAATGGTTCACCAATAGAAAAAGACACACAGCAGGAATCTCAAACACATACAGGTGATGTAAACACGGCTAAATGTTAACAATGGTTGAATTTAGGGGGTGGGATGACAATACCATACAACTTTGGAGTAATACAATGTTGAAAAAAATATTGAAACGAATAGCAAAAAACAAAAGCAAAATCCTCCTTACCCCAACGTCACTAAGGCAGTGTCCTCTGGGATGACTTCTGGATCCTCGGCTTCCTCGAGGCACTTCAGTTTATCAAGGCTAAAACAAAAATATAAAGGAAAAGCAATCATGCATCTTGTCCGTGGAGTCAGGGTTGCGTCCTGAAGACATCATCGAATAATTAATAAGTCAGATAAAATCCAGCAGGCGGCTCAGAGGCAGCCAGAATTCAAGTCCATGACTTACATGAGGATATTCTATAAAGAAAAGGACATACGGCCGACTGACTGAAGGAGGGCATCCTGTGTTAAATGGAGAAAAATATTTTTTAAAAGTTTTTTGTATTTCATCCCAAATAAGGCGCTTTTGGAAAAAATTTCAGTAATAGCATTCCCGGTACGTTCCCCAAAGAAACCAGTTAATCAAGGTTTTAACACTCCACCGGTTAAATCTCCTTCCGGCCTCACCTTCTCTATTGTCAAAGCGTGTGTCAATGGCAGGCACACGTCAGTGCTACTGATTGCTTTTCTATGTGAACAAGCATTTCAAAAATTAGCGAATAGAAAATCTGATCTTTTATGCAGCTTTCTCGTCCCTTCATTCCAACTCGTAGAAATTGTGCAGTCTGACAGTCCCGGTGTTCCAGGAAATCTCCAGCAGGAGTCAACTACAGGCCCTCCCAAAGATGGGTCTCGGGGGAGCGCAGGAGTGAGGCTGCACCCGGTGGGCCCCAAGCTGGCAAGAGCCCCTCAGCCCCACACTTACCCGCAAACTGCCCTCAGCTCGGCCGCCGCCTCCAGGCTGCAGCCCAGATCCCGGGCCACCGCGGCATCCTCTCGGCTGGAGTCGGCGATCCCTCCGCACCCCACGGATGCCAGCTGCTCCTTCAACGTCAAGTCCCCTTGTCCGCGCAGCCGGCCACGCCACAGGTCCCCGAAGGCGCCCACGTGGAAAGCGCGTGTGTTTAGCTCGGGAAGCTCGTACTCTGGAAAGTTGCAGCCGCCACTGCTAGGGGCCGTGTCCTGCCGGCTGCCCACCCCGCTGCACGTTGGGTCGCCCCGGCTGCGTTCAGCCATGTTCGCCCCACTCCCTTCCCTGCAAAAGCCGGACTATCAAGGCCTCGCGGAGCGTGATGTGACTTGTAGTTGCACGTGGCCTCGGCTACCGAGCAGCGGGCTGCACAGGCGGAGATTGAGAAACTACATTTCCCAGCAGGCCCCGGCCCAGGCCCGGCCCTGGGCGTGGCACGGCGAGCCTCCGCGTGCAAGGGCTGAGCGCATTGTTCTCCTCTCCGGGGCGGTGCGAGCAGAGGTTGCAGGTTTCCATCCACCGCCCCTGGGGTCGCGGGGGCTTTTTCTTCACCTCAGAATTCGTGGTCTGTGTTGCTGCCTCACCGCTCCAGAGTCTGAGAGACATTGGGGGGCGACGGCCGACCGGTTACAACCGGCCCTCCAGATCCGGTTCCTTCAAAACGTCTCCAATATGTTCGCGTCCATATGTACGTATGCATTGATGTATACACACAACAGAGTTTATTGAGCGTCTACTTACTGTGTATCGGACATTATACATTATTAACCCTAATACGTATTTTAAAAAATCACAACAGCCATTCCAGGATCCCAAAATTGCTGTTGAAGATGGAGTTAACTGCTAGGATGTAAAAGGATTGAAACTCAATCTGTCTCATTTCAAATTGAGTTTTCTGCATCTCTCAAGAGGCCCCCAAAGGAAGTACAGGACGTCCAGAACCCACCCTTGTTATTTATTTATTGGGGTATAATATATTTCCCCCCTTTAAAGTGTTCATTCCATGGTTTTTAGTATATTTGGAGTTGTGCAACCATCACCACAGGCAATTTGAGAACATTTCTACCATTCCCCCAAAGAAGCCCTCTACCTTTTATCTGTCACTCCCAATCCTCTCAGCTCCTCCAGCGCTAGCCAACCACTAATCTTTCTGTTTATAGATTTAGTATTCAGGACATCTAATGTAAATGGAATCACTTGTGGTATTTTTGTGACTAGCTTCTTTCACTTAACGTAATATTTTCAGTGTTTATCCATATTGTATGTATCAAGTACTTCATTCCTTTTTATGGCTGAATAATATTGCATTATATGAATATATTTTTCCACTCATCAAAAGGTTGTTTACACCTTTTGGCTATTATGAATAATGCTGCTATGAACGTTTATAATTTTTGTGCATTTTCGTTTCTCTTGGAGATATCTATATATCTATACAGGAGTAAAATTCCTGGGTCACATGGTATCTCGTTATTATCTGACTTTTTCATTATAGCCATCCTAGTGGGTATGAAATGATATCTTGTGGTTTTGATTTGCATTTCTATAATGACTAATGATACTGAGCATCTTTTGATGTGCTTATTGACCATTTGTATATCTTTGGAGAAATGTCTATTCAAGTCCGTTGCCCATTTTAGAATAAGGTTATGTGTGTTTTCATAGGAGCCTCGGTATTTATCAGTACATGGTTGTAGGAGACATCTGTTGTTTTTTTTTGTATATCATTCTGTTCCTTAGAACTTATCTTCCTTACTCCTTTTGATCCTCCTGGGGCTGCCAATCATGGAACCCTTTCTACTCCAGCCACAATAATTTGCTCAAGCATGAGCAAGTGACTCGACTAGAACCAATCAGAATCCTCCTCTGGAATTTTATAAACTAAGAAACTCTCCCTCCCATCTGAGAACCCAAGGATGTGCCCTAGACCTAGCCTGTGTTGGCTGGTGGAAGAGTTAGAAAGAAGAAAGCCAAGAGTTTTAAGTAAGCAAAGGCAGAAGATGGAGAAAGAGAGAAGTCACGTGACTTGGAACTATTATGGATGAATCCATCTTCTCTAGACTTGCCATTCTGCAAGCCAATAACTTATTATTATTATTATTATTATTATTTTTATCTTAAGCTAGTTTGAGTTGGAATCTCAAAACTGAAAGACTTAACAGTCTTCCCCTAGTCTGTAAGACTTGGTCCAAATCTCTCAACAGGGGGAGCTCTCACTCCAGAGAATGAAGCCACACTTCTGGTGGGAAGAACTCTTAACATGTATCTGGAGATTTAGTAACATTGGCTTCAGGAGTGGAGACCACAGTGGTTCCTGAGCAGCAGTGGGTAGGGGCAGGACCAGAATGAGCAAGCAGGGGAAGATGGTTCGTTTTCACTGTGAGGTGTGGCGTTGGGTACCAGCAGCTTGAGAGGTGAGGATTGTAGGCATTAGTAGGAAAAGAAGGATTCATGGTGAGTACCAGCAGTAATCACAACACAGTAATTAGTGGAGTCTTATCATCAGCATTCACTCCTTGGAATAAGGCTCAAGGGGTCCAGAGTAGCCACTGCAGCATACAAATTATTTTGAGCTGAATGCATTTGAGAATACACTTCTTTTATTCCCTAAACTCCCTTATCTAAGTGCTGAGCCTCCCAAAAGAATTCAGTAGTCATAAATCTCTTCCCCGAGACCAGGGAAGATTGACTACAAGTAGGCACCACACCCAAACAGACATTGTCTCAAAACTTCCACCTAGTCCTCCTAAGGGCCCATTTATCTTTCTCAAAATTTATTTTTTGCATAAGTGCCTTTTCTCCCCACCCCTATTAAGAAGTCATTTGTTTTCCTGTAACTCCCCTTCTACCCTTCCTCAATTTTCCATTAAGATGGTACAATAAAATATATAAGCCAAATTATAACCGCCTCCTCAAGTTACATTTTTTTGTGAATTCTACCATATATTATACATATATGAATTAAAAAAATCTGTCTTTTCTCTTGCCAATCTATCTTTTGTCAGTTTAATTCACAGGCCCCTGCTGACTGAACCTAAGAGCATAGAGGAAAATGTTTTCCTCCCTAGCAAGGCCATGGCAAAGGCAGCTTCTGTGGCAAACTTGGCAGAAGATGAGAATATTGCTAGACCTGGCACTAGGGCCAAACACTAGCAGAAAGGAGGTAGAAAGATTTCAAGGTTCCAGTATTGGTATAGGCCCTATGATTCTGGATGAGCTATGAATGATTTTCATTTTTTTAAGATTTTTATTAAAATATAGTTAGCATACAATATTACATTATTTTCAGGTGTACAAAATAATTACTCAACATTTATATACCTAAAGAAGCAGTCACCATAAGTCCAGCAACCATCTGACACTGTACTATGCTATCACAATATTATTGGCTATATTCCCCATGCTGTATGTTACATCCCCGTGATGTATTTGTTTTATACCTGAAAATTTTTCCTCTTCACCTTTTTCTCCCTACTCCCTTGTTAATTTTTCAATTTTAGTTGACATTCCATATTATTGTATATTAATTTCAGGTGTACAGCATAGTGGTTAGACATTTATATAATTTAAGAAGTGATTCCTCCTGATGAGTCTAGTACCCACCTGGCACTATACATAGTTATTACTATATTGTTGGCTAGATTCCCTATGCTTTACATCCCCGTGACTATTTTGTAACTACAAATTTGTAATTTTTTTTTTTTTTTAAGCTGAGCCATCCTGCCACCTGTTGGGCAGCTCAGCGACTGCTCAGCTCGGACTGGGAATCGAACTGCTGTTGCTCAGAGCTCAAACTCTTGAGCGAGCTCTTAACCAACTGAGCCACTCGGCCGGCCCTTACAAATTTGTAATTCTTAATGCCTTCACCTTTTTCATCCTGTCCCCCAACCCCCTCCCATCTATCACCCCAATAAATCTAGTACCCATCGGACACCATACATAGTTATTGCAGTATTATTGACTATGTTCTTTATGCTATACCCTACATCCCATGACTACTTTGTAACAACCAATTTGTGCTTCTTAATCCTTTTCCCTTTTTCACCCATTCTCAATCCCCCTCCCATCTGGCAACCATCAAAATGTTCTCTGAATCTATGAGTTTGTTTCTGTTTTGTTTGTTTATTTTGTTCTCTAGATTCCACTTATAAGCGAAATCATCTGTCTTTTGCTCTCTAACATACTTCACTCAGCGTGTCCCTTCGAAGTATGTTTTTGGGTGTCTTTGGATAATTACCCAGAAGTGGGATTACTGGGTCCTTTTTTATCACTTTGTTTTAAAGTCTATTTTGACTGGTATAAGTATTGCCACTCCAGTTTTTGTTTTGTTTTCATTTCCATTTCCATGAAATATCTTTTCCCCATCCCTTTACTTTCAGTGTCTCCATCTGAAGTGAGTCTTTTGTAGGCAGCATATGTAAAGGTCTTGTTTTCTTTTTTCTTTTTTTTATTATTTATTTATTTTTTCTCTTTCTCCTTTATTCTTTTTTTTGTCTTAATTTAAAATTTTATTTATTTATTTATTTTTATTTATTTATTTATTTTTTATTTTTTGTGTTTTTCCTTTTTTGTTCTTCTGAATTATTACCTGCTGTTGTTCAGGTGCATTTCTTTTATTTATTTTTATTTTTT